TCTTTCAGTAGATAAAGGACATTATATCCATGTCATGCAAATGATAAACTAGGAAAGAGAAAAAATCAAAATAACAACTGCATTTAAAATTGTGGTAAAAATATTGTAAGTATCTAAGAATCAAAAAAGGTTCTGAGACTAATACATCAAACACTGTTTCAAGGAATAGAACATAAGGAAATGGAAAAATATTGAATGATAATGGCTTGGCAGGAATAACCATGTCAAAATGACTATCCTGCCAAAACATGTTATTTTAAACTGTTAGGAAGGCTTCCTGTTTCTCTAATATTTGGAAGAGCTGGGGGAGTAAAGATTGTAAGTTTTTCTGGAAGATTTGATAAAATTCACACAATGAAGCCATCTGGACCAGGGTTTTTGTTCTTGGGGAGTGTCTTAATTACCATTTTAATTTTCTTGCTAGTGATTTACCAGTTCAAGTTCTCTATTTCTTCCCTGTTTCATTTATTTATTTATAAAGTAAATAACAGTACTTATTTTCCCCATATTTCCTCCTCCTCACTTTTGGGAGGTTAATTTTGAATCTCTGAGGGATCTGTAGTAGCATCTCCCTTACTGCTCCTGGTCTGATTCGCCTGCCAGCCTCCCTCCCTCCCTCCCCCCCTTCCATTTGAATGACTCTTTGTATTATTTTCTTAATTTCTTTATCATTGATTACTGCCTTTCTCTTATTTCCTTTCTTGTTCTATTTTTAGGACTTTTTTGTTGATCTTTCTCCAGATATTTAAGATATGTTTTGTTTCATAATTTTTTTGTTTGTTTGCTAATGTAGGCCTGAATTACTATGAATTTCTTAATAAAGTTTGTGATGTGTCTCAAAGATTCTAATAGTTTGTTTTTAAATTCTCATTAGTTTCTCATAATCTTTTTTTCCCCTTGATTCCCTCTTTAATTCAGTTATTTAGTAGTATTTCATTCAGCTTTCACTAGTTGGAGTTTTCCCCATTTTCTTTTTAAGGCTGATTTCTACTTTCATGCCACTGTGATCTGAGAGGATGCTTGGCGTAATTCCCATGTTTGTAAATTTATGTATATTTGAGTTATGCCCTAGTATGAGATATATCTTGGAGAATGTTCCATAAGAAGAGAAGAATGTGTATTCTGCCTTTTTATATATTACATATGGCCCAGTATAAGTCAATCAATTCCAGTTCTTCTAATTTCTTATGTAAGGCTCTTAATATCTTTACTGGTTCTCTGTTTAATTGGTATGTCTAATGGTGAAAGTGGAGTGTTAAGGTCTCCCACTATTTCTGTATTTTCATCCATATGTTTATAAAGCAGAAGTTTTATAAACTTTGCCGATGCTTTATTTGGTGCATATATGCTAAGAATTCATCCTTCTTAATCTGAATATTGTTCCCTTAATAAATAGTGTCTGTTCCTGTTTCTAATTACTTTAGATTGAATGTTATTTGCTTTGATATATATGCCAGTCCCAGCCTTTTCTGGTCTGTCATTGGTTTGTATGATTGTTTCCATGTTTTCATTCTGAGTTGATAGATATTTTTTGAGTCTAGGTGTGTTTTCTGCAAGCAGAAAATGGATGGATTTTGTTTCCTGATCTTTCCACTGTCTTCTGATCAGAGAGTTTTGTTCCTTGACAATCATTGGTATTATTGATACACAGAGCTGTGTTACTATAATTCTCTGTGTGATTTAATTGTTTTGAAACTGGCCATTTGCTTTTTATGGTGGCCTTTCAGTAATTTCTGCAGATTACTTAGTTGTAGCAAATGTCACCAGCTCTTGTTTGTCTGAGAATGGTTTTATCCTTCCCGCAAATCAAAATGATGTATTTTCAGGATAGTAGACTCTGGGTTTGATGTCGGTGGATCCTGTGAGTGGCTTATGTGAGGCAGGAGGAGACAGTCAATTTCTCCTGATCTGCCTCTGCTGCCCTGAGACCCAGCTGGGAACAGTAGGATCGGTTGTCATCAATAAGCCCCTGCTCTGCACAGTCTGAGGTCCACCAGGTGGCCATCAAGCCATACCTAACATCCGCTCCATCTTCTCAGCACAGAGGTTGATTCCTGCTATCCGATTTCTCAGGGAGCCAGAACTCAGGTTGAAGTGAGGATTTGCTCTTTGTAGGAAAGGAGAAGTCTGGGTGAATCGAACTAAAGAAAGGAATTGAGGGAGGGACCCAGGCTGCTGAGGTCAGCTACTGGAGAAGGTCTTATCAGGTCTTGCTTTCTGTATCCACAAAGGTGGGTCAGATTTAGGACTGGGGGCTTTAATACTTCCCAGAAATTTCATTGCCATGATGCGTGTGTGTGTGTGTGTGTGTGTGTGTGTGTGTGTAACCTGCCTACATCAGGTTGAATTTTTTTTTCTCTCATTACTTAGAATATATTATTTCACTCTTTTCTTATATCTTTTTTTTTTTTTTGCCTTTTTTTTGGTCACATCCGGCTATGCACAGGAGTTTCTCCTGGATTTGCACTCAGGAATTACTCATGGTGATGCTTAGGGGACCATATGGGATGCTGGGAATAGAACCCGGGTCGGCTGTGTGCAAGGCAAACGCCCTACCCGCTGTACTATCACTCCAGCCCCTCTTTTCTTATATTTCATATGGGAGATCTCTTGTGATTATTATGCTATTGCCTTATCTTTGAGGTTTTTCTCCTCATGATATTTTAAGAAGTTCATCTCTCAGGCTGTTGCCGCTTTGGTCACAGAGTGTCTTGGTGTTGCTCTGGTTTAGTCTGTGTTGTTTGGTTCTCTTTGGGCCGCTCCAATCTGTACAGAGCCTCCCTGCAGTAGTGCTTAGTTCTGAGCCTTGATCTTTCCCAGCCATTCTTCCCCTTTCTCTTTTTTGTCTCCTGGTATTCCTGTCATTTGGAGACTGTTCCTCCTGTGGTTATCTATTAAATATCTTACTTTCTCTCCCACTAATTTTGTTCTCTTTTTCTTTTGCTGTTTCATTGTTATTGATGAGTTGTATTTCTCTAAGATGCTGATCTGGTTTTCCACATGCAGATTTCTATTACTGTGGTTTACTTTTGTATTCCTATTTGTATCGACTCTTTTATACTTTGAATCAGTTCTTCTTTGAATTGACATTCCCACCAACAATGAAGGATGATTAGTGAGAAGTGGAATTTCTCTTCCAATGATTGCTTACTTTCCATCCCCAGTGGTGGCTTAGTTTCCGTCACCTTTGCATGGAGTGTCTGTCATCCAGGCTTGAGAGTTTTGAGGAACTCAGGGATTTAGTTGGGTTTCTGCCCCTTCTGCTAATACAGCTGAATTCTGTGGTTTTCCCCATAGTTCTTAGAGTATTGTGGACAATGGTGCTTTAAGTACTTGATTATCTGAGTACCGACCTGTTTTTCCTCCCTCCCTCCCTCCCTCCCTCCCTCCCTTCCTTCCTTCCTTCCTTCCTTCCTTCCTTCTTTCCTCTTTTTTTCTTTTTCTTGCTCTTACTCCTTTTGGGCATTATGGTTTGCAATACAGGTACTGAAAGGTTACTGCATTAGCACTTTTCCAGAGTCATCACTTCCAACTCTCATTGTCATAGTGGTCCCACCCTTATCATAACTACCCTTTCCTCCCACACTTGAAGCAAGCTTCCACCCATGGACCAATCCTCCTGGCCTTTGTTTCTACTGTCCTTGGGTATGAGTCTCATATTCTGGTTTCTTATATCCCACAAATGAGTGCAGTCATTCTATGTCTGTCACTCTGTCACTTTCCTTCTGACTCATTTCACTCAGCATGATACTTTCCATACCCATACATTTATAATTGAATTTCATGATCTCATTTTTTCCTGGTCGCTGTGTAGTATTCTATTGGCACAATTTATGTAATAGTTGGGCTGGAGCAATAGCACAGTGGGTAGGGCATTTGCCTTGCACGCAGCTGACCTGGGTTCGATTGCTGACTGCTCCGTCTCTCTTGGAGAGCCCGGCAAGCTATCAAGAGTATCCTGCCTGCATGGCAGAGCCTGGCAAGCTCCCCGTGGCGTATTCAATATGCCAAAAAACAGTAATGAGAAGTCTCACATTGGAGACGTTACTGGTGCCCGCTTGAGCAAATCAATGAACAGTGGGAGGACAGTGCTACAGGACAGTGCTACATAATGATTGCACTTCACTTCTTAGTTTAAAAATATTGGTCAGAAGTCTGTGATGGCTGTGTAGCGAATTATATGGGTAATCAGTATTAGTTTTTTTCCTTTAGGCCTGTTACCTTTTTTTCTTCACATGGTAATTGAGGGAGAAACTCTGGAAAGTTGAATATAGTAGAAATGCTTCCTAGTATTATTAGGTATCCCCCTTCACCCCCTTCAGTGTCATGTAAAGGATCATTTGGGTATTACTGTAGAAATATCTCTCTTGGTTTTGTTTGTATTTATTCCTGTTTTTGATGGCTTCCCTGGAGGTGCTGAGTGACCTAGGGGGTTACTTCTGGGTCCTCAGTTCTGTGTCTGGCGTCTGAGCCTGACAGGTGTGTGCTGGAAGCCCTAAGTCGTGGTATTGTGCTGGGGCCACAGTCAGGATATGCTCCTGCAGGGTGTGTGCAAGGCATGTACAACTGGAATTTGAGCCAGCTCCTTGGCCCCAGTTTTATTTATTTTTTGATTCAGAATCTCAAATTACATGCATTTTATTGAAACTTTTAAAAATTTTTTTCCCGATCTTTCACCAATTTTGGTTAAATGCTTTCTGCTTCTAGTTACAAAGATCAAAGGCTTTTATTAGCTCTTCTACCTCCGCCCTGGTTCTGTACTTGTGCTCTGTCTTCAGTTTCAAGGTATAGCTGGATTGATGCTTCCCCTGCTCCATGGCCAGAGCTAGGATGGAGCTTAGAGGGTCCTTATGGACTTGGACAGAAATTAGCAACAGTGGAGGAAGGGATATTTGGGAACCAGTTCTGAATGTTTACTGGGGCTAGTGGAGATTTGTTAATTTTATGTTTCTGTGTAATCCAACTAAATGTTACTTAGAAAACTGTTTGCTGCTTTACAGAAAAAACAAGGAGAGAAATTACAGCTAAAGGATCTACAGGGACGGAAGTTCTTCTTTCAACATTAGAGGTAAATAAACACGTTCTGAATACTTAATATAAATATTAAATTTTTGGGTCACACCCAGTGGTACTCAGGACTTGCTTATTATTACTTTGGCTCCACTGAAAAAAATCTGAACAGCATTTTAATTGGTAGCACAATGTAAAGGTTTAGCTATAAAGAACTCTAGTTTAAAATAATGATTGACAGCAGAGAATGTAGTCCAGTGGTCAGAGCATATGTCTAAAATAACAAATGACTGATATTAAAAATTATTGTTTTATGTTTAAAATATTGTTTTATGTTCGTTAGTATATACTTGTGATTTAGCTTAACTTCATATGTATGTGGGTGGATTTTTCATGGTGCTGGGGCTGAATCCGGGGTCTCACATCCGAGTCTTGTGTTCTGCCACTGAGCCACATCCCAACTCTTCCTGATTGTTAATATTGATTAACTGCATCATATTGCTCGTGTGAAAGTTTTGAGTGGGGTCAGCTCATCAGGATATATTTAGAATCAGAATTTTGTATTTTAATCAGTGCATTGTTAAGAACATAGGGTATGTTGTTTGCATTAAATACAGTGTTTTTTGTCATTTTATCTTAATAAAATTGGGGAAAAAGGGCAGGTGATATGTTTCTAGACAGAAAGTCCAAGTGTGTCGTTTTCCCCTAACTTGGACAATTTAAAGTAATTTCAATGAAAATAACTATAATTTTTCATAAAGTCTAACAGGAAAGATTATTAGCAAGAATAGGAAAGGGAACTGGGAAAGGATTGGCACCACCATCTGAGGAAAAATAAAAACTTTAGAGTTCAAATGGTTGTGTGTGAGTAGTTACCAGGCTCTACCATGTCCCCAGGCATTAGTACTTATGTTGAGTAGAATACACTTTTAATGTTGATAATAATTTAATAATGCATGTACTATACTAATAAAAAGTCTGAAATAAAATACTGTTGGAAATTTAGTACTACTTAATAAAGTAGTATTTCAGTTACATAGGGACCAGAGGGATTGGTAGCCATCTAGAAAAACCTAATTTTGAATTTTTCCTGCACCAAAATAAAATTGATATCACACAAAGATTTTAGCGTAGAAAATAAAATTAGAATATTTGAGGACGCCTATCATAGTAGAAATTTTCAAATAGTCTTATGTTGGGGTCCAGGGGATAGTGCCGGGCGGGGCTTGCCTTGCCTTCCTCTAGCCTGGTTGGATCCCAGGCACCTTGTGACTCCCCAGGCTGTCATACGTGTGACTGGAACACAAACCAGAAGTAAACCCTGGGCATCACTAGGTATGGCTCAAAACCAACTATTAAAAAAAAAAATCTTACGACAAAACTTTCTAAGTATAAAAAAATACAAGGAGTACAGAAGGAAAATAGAATTACTTACATTAACAAAAGTATATGGAAAGCCCCCATAATGAATTTTGATGACAAATTAATTTCTCTTATAGTAATGGTAAAAATAGGACTATGATAACTGAAATGACTCTAAAACTTGAAGGGTGAGCAGAGACTGAAGTGATAACTACAAATAGTTGAAAACTGAGTATATTTATTTTTAGAGAAATGGGAAACACCATGTCTATAATAGGTAGTTTCCAACAGGTAGAAAAAGTTGGGGAATCACAAGTTTACAATGGTTTAATAAAGCAAATAAACTTTATTTCAGAACACGAAAGATCTTCAAACTACACTTAATATCTTAAGTATTCTTGTTGAACTGGTGTCAGCTGGTAAGTTTTTGTTTCTTTTGGTTCAATTTATGTTTGTCAACAGTGATCCACAATGTATTATGTGCACTTTATTCAGTATTTTTTTAATACTCACATACAGAGGCGATAGAGTGTTGAAATTTAGAAACTGAAATACTCCTTCATTGCTGCTTTGGTATCTTCCAGAATCAATCTAACTACCCTGGAAACCCATGTGTTTCAGAACCTTGAATATAAAATTTTTCTGTCACTTGAATTTACCTCCTGTATTATTCTGTAACTAAAATAAATGAAATTTTTTGGGGGGTGTGGGGTGAACACATGGCAAGTGCTCGGGGTTCACAACTGGCTTTGTGCTCAGGGATCACTTTTAACTCTCTGCTCAGAGTTGACTCCTGGCTCTATGCTCAGGGTCATTCCTGGCTCTGTGCTCAGGGCTTACTCCTGGCTCTGTTCTTTGGGTCACTCCTGGCTCTGTACTCAGGGTTCACTCCCGGCTCTGTGCTCAGGCTCACTCCTGGCTCTGTGTTCAGGGATCACTCCTGGCTCTGTGCTCAGGGTCACTCCTGGCTCTGCTCAGGAATCACTCCTGGTGTGCTGGGGATTGAACCTCGGTCGGCTTGTGAGCAAGGCAAGTGCCTTAACGCCTGTCCTGTCTTCCCAGCCCTGAACTAAGATTTGATTTTGATCCTGTTTGTTTGATTTCAGAGGTCATCACTTTAAATATTTCTTGACTGTTGGCTAGTTACAATATCTAATATGTATTATCGGAAGTTTTACTCTTTAAACAAGCTTAAAAGACTATTTTTTTTTTCAGGTGGAGGGCGAAGAGCAAGTTTTTTAGTTGCCAAGGGTGGTTCCCAGATACTGCTGCAGTTACTTACCAGCACCAGCAAAGACTCACCCCTGAATGAGGAGTTAATGATACAGATTCATTCTATTCTTGCAAAGATTGGACCCAAAGGTAAGGCTTTGCTTTTATCATCATCTATGGAACATTGATTCCTTCTGCCTTGAAATTGCCTTCAAAAACATAGTCAAGGTGCTGAGGATTGGCCAGGGCCTCCTCTGCCCCACTGTCCAGTCTGCAGTCCAGCTGCTGGGGTTTATATTCATGCAAAATATAAATGCTGCTGGGTATTTTTGTTTGTTTCAGTCATGGAGTACTTTTATTGTTCACTGGGGACCTCCAACAATTGAGGATCCTAATTTATGAGGAATTTTACTGGTTATGGTAGAATAAAAGATGAAAAATGTGTCAGAATACAAGGTTGTCTCTCTGTGTGCTTGCTTGTGTTCTGTGTAGCAGGATATTGTTGGGTTGGAAGAGGGAGGCGTTGGAATGGGAAGGTGTTGGGCGTTTGTTTTTTATTTAAGAGCATTCTGTATACACTGGTATGGAATAGTTTCAGTATCCCCCCTAGACCCCCCCGCAACTTACAATTTCGTTTTAAAGACCAGAAGATAGAAAAGTGTTAATCATTGAGTATTATAAGAGTAAAATATACCTAATATTGAAAGACTACAAATTGAACAACGTACAGGCAAAAACAAAGGAGGAAACTAATTTCTGTTAAGTTAATAGAAAGAAAAATACACTTTTGACTAGAAGCCTGGTTCAGTTTACATCTGCAGAACCTGCACAGAGATTGCAATCATTCCTAAACTCTTAGGATAGTAATCTGGGGGGCGGTGGGGAGGTTGGAGCAATAGTACAGTAGGTAGTGTGCTTCCTTTGCATGCAGCTGACCTGAGTTCAGTCCTTGGCATCCCATGTGGTCCTCCAAGCCCACCAGGAGTGATTCCTCAGCGCAGAGCCAGGAGTAATTTGCGGGGAAAGTTTTGGGGGAGACTCAGTGATTACTCAAGGATTGCTCAGGGATCACTCCTTGTGGTTTCGGGGCACTATATTTCTCCTAATTTTCAGGTTTGTGGTTTTTTTTTCATTATTTTGGGAAAAGAGTCTCCTTTCAAAGGCAAAGGCTTTCGGGGGAGTGAGGGCAGGCAGACAGTGTACTGAAGACCAAGCTCTCCTGGACCGTGCAGGGCAGGCAGGGCTGCTAGTTCAGGACTCTGAAGCTCTGATCGCGGGGAGTAATTCGGCCTTTCACAGCACCTCAGCTCTGTTTTGGCTTTGCACTGCAGCAGCAAAAATGTTTAATAGAAAAGAAAATTCTTAGCAGTCCTCCCCATATACACATCAAGTTTCTAGTCTAAAACGAACCAGTTACTTCTCCCTTTAATATTTGACTAATGATTAATTGTAAACTTATTTCTAAAGAATAAAACTGGATCTTAACCCTCAGTCACTGTCACTGTCCTCCCATTGTTCATCGATTTGCTCAAGAGGGCCCAGTAATGTCTCCATTGTGACACTTGTTACTGTGTTTGGCATATTGAATACGTCACGGGTAGCTTGCCAGGCTCTGCCGAGTGGGCGAGATACTCTCGGTAGCTTGCCGGGCTCTCCCGAGAGGGGCTGAGGAATCGAACTTGGGTCGGCCACGTTAGCTGCGTGCCAGGCAAACGCCCTACCTGCTTGCTGTGCTATCGCTCCAGCCCTTAACCCTCAGATGAAACCCAAATAAAGAATTAACTCCACACTGAGGGCAGTGCAGGCGGGGAAGAGCTGCAGGGTTCAGAGGCATCAGGAGAGGCTCCTGTTGGCTCTTGTGGAGCAGGTGTTTCTGTAGTGACTGTCCTTTTTCCTTGGATGAGAGTCATCTGCGCTCTGGAATGTTTAGTTCTTTTCAACTAATTATTCTTATTGATCGTGAAATAGTTGAGTTTTCACTAAGCCTACTTATTTCTTTGTGTGAACTCTTTAATATTTTTTTTCCAGGTTATGTTTTTACTCTTTTAGTCTCATTGTGAGAATAAAAAGAAGTAACTTCTTTTCTTCTCTTTATTTTTTATAAGAATTATACTGCTTTAGAAATTAGATTGTTAGATCATTTGCTACATAAGTGGTTAATACTTTGATTACTTCTACAGTCAAAAATATTCATTTTCATTTCATTTCATTTCATCATCATGTTATTCGTCGATTGCCTCGAGCAGGCCCCAGTAACGTCTCTTTCATCCTAGCCCTGAGATTATATTCAAGGCTCTTTAGGAGAATGAGACCCATCATTGTTACTGGTATTTGGCATATTTGGTACGCCACGGGGAGTTTGCCAGACTCTGCCCTGTGGACAGGCTACATTCAATAGCCTGCAAGTTTGTCCAAAGTAGGAATGAGACAATAAGATGTCATATTTTTATGACAAAAATATTATAAATATTATTATATTAACTTAATGTTGCTAATGGACATTTGTATCTAACCGCTCTCCTTCGTCGGGTGATGCATTTCCTGGCATATATTGAACGTGAAGTTGACCAGCTAAGTCCTTCCTTTCATTCACAGTCTTGTGAGGCTGGGCCAATTTCTGTTCTTGCTTCTCCTCCCATCCCCTTGGTCCTCCCTGGTACTTTTTTAAAAAACAATGTTGCAAAAATGTAAAGAGTACTTTAATAGCCATACAAGGATTATTGCAGTTTTAGTTAATCTAGGGCAACCTATATTTGATAGCATGAATTAAAGCTTTAAAAAGTCACTGCTCTTGTTTCTGATTTTTTAAACAGACAAGAAATTTGGAGTGAAAGCTAGAATTAATGGGACTCTGACTATAACCCTGAACTTGGTCAAACAGAATTTGCAGAATCATCGCTTAGTTTTGCCTTGTCTTCAGCTTTTACGAGTTTATTCAGCAAATTGTGAGTATTTTAGAGAGTATCTCTTTTGGGTGGAAGCAGGGGTTGGTTTAGGCTGATTTGGTGGTACTTGGGGGCTACTCCAGGTTTGTGCTGAGGGTTTGCTCTTGACAGTGCTCGGGAGACCATGTAGTGCCGGGATCAAACTTGGGCTTCTGTGTACAAATGCCACGCTTCAGTCTGTTGATTTCTCTGCCCGGCCTTAGAGAATGGCTTTCAATTAATGCCATGTTGTCACATTACACAAAGGAAACAGTTGAATGTACCTTATGTCTATACATCTGTGTAGTAATGAAAAAGCTCAGTCTCTCCTTCACACATACCCATGCATGCATGCATACGCACATCCTCTCAACCATATAGGCAGGAAAATCTCAGCCTTTCTCCTGCGCTCTCTCTCTCTCTCTCTCTCTCTCTCTCTCTCTCTTTCCACCCCCCCCACAATCCCACACATACTTCAAATACACAGGGTTTTATTTATTTATTTAAAATTTTATTTTATTGAATCACCATGAGATAAAGCTTTCACGTTTAAGTTTCAGTTATACAATGATTCCTCCACCAGTACACATTTTCTACCACCAATGTCTCCAGGACCCCCTTCTCCCCACATCCAACCCTCCCCCTGCCTCTCAGGCAGATACTTTCCTCCATACTCTCTCTCAACTTTTGAGTATTATGGTTTGCAATACAGATCCTGAGAGGCTATCACATTTGATCCTTCATCTACTTTCAGCACACAACTCCCATCCTGAATGATCCTTCTAACCATCATTGACTTAGTGATCCCTTCTCTATTCCAGTTGCCTTCTCCCCCAGCTCCTAAGGCAGGCTTCCAGCTATGGAGCAGTATTCCTGGCCCTTGTATCTACTGTCCTTGAGTGCCAGTCACATATTACATTACATTATATTCCACAAATGATTGCAGTCTTTCTATGTCTGTCTCTCTCTGATTCATTTCACTTAGCATGATACTCTTTATGACCATTCACTTATAAGCAAATTTCATGACTTCATCTTTCCTAACAACTGCGTACTATTCCACAGTGTAGCTGTACCAAAGTTTCTTTAACAAGTCATCTGTTCTTGGGCATTTGGGTTGTTTCCAGATTCTGGCTATTGTGAACAGTGCTGCAATGAACATAGAGGTGCAGATGTCATTTCTACTGTTCTTTTTTGCACCCTCAGGATATATTCCTAGAAGTGGTACTACGGGGTCATAGGGAAGCTCGGTTTCTAATTTTTTAAGAAACGTCCATACCGTTTTCCAAAAGGGCTGAATTAGTTGGCATACTCACAAGCAATGAAGGAGAGTCCCTTTCTCACCACATCCATGCCAACACTGGTTGCTTTTGTTCTTTTGGATGTGGGCCAGTCTCTGTGGTGTGAGATGATACTTCATTGTTGTTTTGATATGCATCTTCCTGATGATTTGTGATGTAGAGCATTTTTTCCATGTGCCTCTGGGCTGTTTGTATTTCTGTTTTGAGGAAGCTTCTGTGAATTTCTTCTCCCCATTTTTTGATGGGGTTGGAGGTTTTTTTCTTGTACAATTCTACTAGTGCCTTGTATATCCTGGATATTAAACCCTAATCAGGTGGGTATTGGGTAAATATTCTTTCCTATTCTGTGGGCGCTCTCTATATTTTGGTCACAGTTTCTTTTGCGATGTAGAAGCTTCTTAGTTTAATGTATTCCTATTTGTTTATGTTTGTTTCTACTTGCTTGGTCAATGGTGTTTCATCCTTAAAGATGTTTTTAGCTTCAATGTCATGGAGGGTTCTCTGCCTACATTTTCCTCCAAGTACCTTATGGATTCAGGTATGATATAGAGGTCTTTAATCCACTTTGATCTAATTTTTGTGCTTGGCATTATACAGAGGTCTGAATTCTTTTTTTTTTTTTTTGCATGTAGCTATTGAGTTTTCTTAGCACCACTTGTTGAAGAGACTTTCCTTGTTTTACTTCACATTTCTTGCTCCTTTATCAAAGATTAAGTGATAATATATTTGAGAGTCTGTGGCAGGATGTTCAACTCTCTTTCATTGGTCTGTGGGTCTTTCTCTAGGCCAATACCATGCTATTTTAATTACTACTGCCTTTTCAGTACAGTTTGAAGTTTGGGAAGGTGATGACTCCATCTTCTTTTCCCCAAGGATTACTTTAACTATTTGTGGGGGCTTATTGTTCCATCTGAATTTCAAGAGTGTTTCATCTATTTTTTTTTTGAGAAATGTAATGGGAGTCCTTATAAGGACTGCATTGAATCTATATAATGGGGCTGGAGCGATAGCACAGCAGTAGGGCGTTTGCCTCGCATGCAGCCAACATGGCCAACCCAAGTTCGATTCCACCGCCCCTCTTGGAGAGCCTGGCAAGCTACCGAGAGTATCTCGCCCGCACGGCAGAGCCTGGCAAGCTCCCCGTGATGTATTCGATATGCCAGACACAGTAACAACAAAGTCTCCAATGGAGACATTACTGGGCCCGCTCGAGCAAATCGATGATCAGTGGGAGGGCCTTTACTTTACTTTACTTAGTGCTTTGGTGTGTATTGCCATTGTGACAGTGTTAATTCTCCCAGTCAGGTGATGAGTTTACATTTCCTTGTGTCCTCTTTTATTTCTTGGAGTAATGTTTTGTCGTTTTCTTTATATAGGTTCTTTACCTCCTTAGTTGATTATGAAGTACTTGGTTTTATGAGGCACAATTCTGAATGGGATTTTTTTTTTTAATGTCACTTCTCTTTCATTGTTTGTATATAGGAAGGCTGTGGTTTTTTGGGTATTGATGTTGTAACCTGCCACTCTACTTTATAAGTCTATGGTTTCTATGAGCCTTTTGGTAGAGTCTTTAGGGTTCTTAAGCATAGTACCATATCATCTGCAAATAGTGAGAGCTTGACCTCTTCCTTTCCTATCTGGTGTCCTTGGTGTCTTTTTCTTGCCTAACTGCTTTGTCAAGTACTTCAAGTACTATATTGAATAGAAGTGGTGAGAGTGTGCAGCCTTGTCTTTTCCCTGGTCTTAGAGGGAAGACTCAGTTTTTCCCCGATGAGGATAATGCTTGTAGTGGTTTGTATTAGATGGCTCTGACTATATTGAGGAAAGTTCCTACAACTCCTATTTTGTTGAGAGTTTTATTCTTGTCCAATGCTTTCTCTTCCTATTGATATGATCATATGGTTTTTATTTTTTTCTTTTATTGATTTGTTGTATTATGTTGAGCCACTTGCGAAAGTTAAACCATTCTGGGATTCCTGGGATGAATCCTACTTGGTCCTAGTGTATGATTTTTTTTTTTGATGAGTTATTGGAGTCTTTTTTGCTAGTATTTTGTTGAGGATCTTTGCATATTAGCCAGTAATTCTTTTTTAATTTTCATTTATTAATTTATTTTTTGTGGTATCTCTGTCTGCTTTTGGAATCAAGGTAACATGTGCCTCATAGATTGAAATTGAAAGTGTTTCTGTTTCTTCAATTTTCTGTAAAAGTCTGAAGATTGATTGGTTTTGTGGAGGTATGTTTTGGTGTGTTCCAGCATATGGTATATCTGGAGAATGTTCCTTGTGCATTAGAGAATAATGTATATTCAGGTTTTGGGGATTCAGCTTTTTGGGATATGAAGCCTCTGTATATATTGGTTCATCTGTCTTTTACATTTCTTCTTTCGGTGCAGCTATTTTCTTACTCTTACTGAACTTTCATCTAGTTGATCTTTCAGAGGTGATAGAGCAGTGTTGAAGTCTCCGACTACTATTATGTTGCTATATGTCTATGAGCAGATGTTTTTAAGTATTTTGCTGGCCCCTCATTAGGTGCACATATATGTATGTATGTGTATATGTTGTTTGTGTGTGTGTATATATAAATAAACACACACACACATATGTATATATACACACATATCTTAAGGAGCATGAGTCCTTCCTTATGTACATATCTTTAGATCATTAAGAAATGACCTTTTCTGTCCCTTATACCTTATTTATCACGATCATGATCATCCTGTTGTTCATCGACTGCCTCGAGCAGGCACCAGTAACGTCTCCTTTGCCCTTGCCCTGAGATTTTAAAAAGTGCCATATTCAAGGCTCTATCACGGTTAGGAGAATGAGACCCATCATTGTTACTGGTATTTGGCATATTGGGTACACCACGGGGAGATTGCCAGACTCTGCCATGTGGGCAGGTTACATTTGGTAGCCTGCCAGGTTTTCCAAAGTAAGAATGAGATAATAAGATGTCGCGACTTGCGACTGCGTGCTTCTGGGAGCTGGGTTTTATAGTCTCTGGTACTTGGCCGTTGATGGGATTACACAGCGCCTAGGGGAAGTGGGGGGGCAGTTGGTGGGTGTGATCCCTGCCTATTGGAAGATGGAGGATCTGGGTGGAGGATGCTCAGCCCCGATCTGAGCAGGCTTGGCGATCTCAGCCCCGGGACCAGCATGCCTTTGTTCCTCTGCCGGTACCTTCATGCGTGTGGAGAGTGGTCTCAGCATGGTTGAGGCTGGTTCTGGAGGTCTTCGGCTGCTGGAGCTCTGCTCTGGGCAGGGAGGGAAACTCAACTTGCCCCCCTCCAAGGGGCCCTGGTGAGGACAGCCAGGTGTGGGGGTAGGAGACTCTGCACTGTTCTCTTCTGGGAGCTGGGTTTTAAAGTCTCTGGAACTTGGCTGTTGATGGGATTACACGGTGCTGGGGGTCAGTTGGTGGGTGTGACCCCTGCCTACTGGAAGATGGAGGATCTGGGTGGAGGATGCTCAGCCCCAATCTGAGCAGGCTTGGAGATCTCAGCCCTGGGACCCGCATGCCTTTGTTCGTCTACCTTATTTATACCTGAAGTCTATTTTTTCTGATATAATTATGGCCACCCTGACCTTTTTGTGGGTCATTTTTGCTTAAAATTCTAACTTCCAACGTTTGATTTTGAGTCCTGCTATTCAGATTTTGATTTTGAGCCCTTGCTATTTAAATTTGCTCGAGCGGGCCCAGTAACGTCTCCAATGGAGACTTTGTTGTTACTGTGTCTGGCATATCGAATACTCTCGGTAGCTTGCCGGGCTCTCCGAGAGGGGCGGAGGAATCGAACTCGGGTCGGCCATGTTGGCCACTTGTAAGGCGAAAGCCCTACCCGCTGTTTAAATGTGTTTCTTATAGGTAGCAGGTTGGGTTCAGTTTTCTAATCCATCCTGGCACTCGGTGTCACTTAATTGGTTCATTTTGATCGTTGAAATAGAGTGACATTGTTATAGATTTTTTTCAGCCATCTTTCAGTAGAAGTTTCATGTGTTTGTAGGATTTGTCTTGTCTTAAATAAATTCACTCCAATATTTCTTGCAAAGTTGTTTTTGAATCTATGAGGTTCTTGAGTTTTTTTTTAATCTGTTTTTTATCTTGAGTTGCCTTTTTTTTCTGAGTTTTTTTTTTTAATCTGATGAGAGTCTGGTGGCTTAAAAACAATACCACCAATGGAACAGGGTTGAATATCCTTAAACACACCCTCAAATATATGATCATCTAATAATGTGAAGTGAATATCCTTAAACACACCCTCAAATATATGATCATCTAATAATGTGAAGTGGAGCAAGGAAAGCCTCTTTAACAAATGGTGCTGGCAAAACTGGACAGCTACCGGCAAAAAAAGGGCTCAGATTGCTCCCGGGTCAAGGTGGCGGCAGATCCTCCCCCACGCCACCCCATGGAGAGGCTAGCAGCTGTCACTCCTGTCATATGGCTTATATTCATAATTGTGTAGACTTTAAGGGCTGGAGTGATAGCACAGCGGGTGGGGCGTTTGCCTTGCATGCAGCCAACATGGCCGACCCGAGTTCGATTCCTCTGCCCCTCTCGGAGAGCCCGGCAAGCTACCGAGAGTATCTCGCCCACACGGCAAAGCCTGGCAAGCTACCCGTGATGTATTCAATATGCCAAACACAGTAATAACAAGTCTCATGATGGAGACGTTACTGGGCCCGCTCAAGCAAATCGATGAACAATGGGAGGACCATTTCTGTAGACTTTAAGATGGCAGGAACAAGATTGTGGCTAGGTGATTGCATGTTCTGTGTCGAATATGAAGGTTGCGGACTTCAGGGCCCTCAGCGCCCCTCACTCAGAGCACAGAGTGTTCAGACCCTCCGGCCCAGTAGACTGTAATAGCTGATCTCTGTAAGATGACCATCTTCATTGTCACTCCTGTGGAGAGTTCTTCAGAGCTGAACAATGAAACAGCTTTGAGAACCCTTTGTGATTTGCTTGTAGTCGTCTTATCACTGTTGTGCTTTGTTTGTACAGTCCATTTTAAAAAGAGTACATTTTGACAGCAACCGTTTGCATGAATGGTGTTCAAAAGTTGTTGCCCTGCATGTCTTATCTCTGTCTCCAGAGACAACTCAGAGCCACATTCTCCTTTCTGCAGCTTGATCTGTAGCTCATTTCTCCTCATTTGTAAAGTTTGCCCAGTTTTGCATTACATTTGCTTCCTATAGGGTTTACAGGTGTAACCTATGTTTCCTCCTGCTTTTCATCTATTTAGGAGCAATTTTCAGTAATAATTTTAGCAATCTATTTAGTAATAATTTGTTAACTTTTTCCTTTTTTTTTTTGTATTGTGTTGTCTGAGATCAAACACTTTGTATCCTCAAGACCTGGTGTTTATTTTTAGGAGTTCTTTAAATTTAATACGAAAATAATGGAGCATATAAGAGGATTTTTTTTTTGGTAGTAGGTAGTAACACACTTTTTTACATAACTTGTTTAATTCCTCTACAACTTTGCATTTAAAACAAACAGGAGCTGGAGTGAGTGGGCGCTTGCCTTGCACGCAGGGAACCTGGGTTTGATTTCTGGCATCCTCTGTGGTCCCGAGCCTGCTAGGAGTGCAGAGCCAGAATTAACCCCCGAGCAGCGCCACCTGTGGACCCCAAATAACCAATAAATAAATAATAAACCAAAAGCTTGGTTTGGAGAGATAGCTCAAAGGACTGAGAGTCTGGTTTGGTCCCCACTGCATAGTCCCTTGAGCACCATTGGAAGCTGTACTCGATTGACTGTACTTGACTTTATGAGTCCTTGTGTTCACAAAACAATCATCTGTTCATGTTGATGATGCCTTACCAAGCACACATAATTCTACTTGTAAAGTCATTTTGTATCTTTCCTTCTTTTCCCAGCTGTGAATTCCGTCTCCTTAGGAAAAAATGGAGTGGTAGAACTGATGTTTAAAATCATCGGGCCATTTAATAAGAAGAATTCTGGTCTTATGAAGTGAGTACAAGTTCTGAATGTTGAGTGTAGCATAGTCTTTACTGTTCTGGGTGTCATCATCTTGATCTGCATTATGTGTAGGTCCAGTTTAATTGAACTAGGGTTCTTAGTTCTTAAATAGTGATTTTTAACATAATAAATGTTTTCTTTAAAGTTTCTTCAGAAATTTATCAAAATTAGACTTTTTTTTGGGGGGAGGGGTCACATCCAGCGATGCTAAGGGGTTATTCCTGGCTCTGCACTCAGGAATTACTTCTGGCTGTGCTTGTGGGACCATATGAGATGTCGGGGATTGAACCCAGGTCGGCTGCGTGCAAGGCAAATGCCCTCCACGCTGTACTATCACACTGGCCCCACAAAATTAGACATTTTTGTATTCAGTGATTACAGTGTAACATTCCTAGATATGGGGAAAAAATCATGTATAGGATGTTATTCGTTCAGAAATATTGAGTGCCTACTATGTTCCCTGCTCAGTTTTGCAATCTTTTAAACTGTTATTTTATTCTCAAAATCATTTGAATGTGTTTTAATTTTACACATTTCTATTTTATCAAATGCCATTCCTTTTCTTTTATCTTGGTTCCCATGCTGCATTTTTAGTCTTAGCAAATTTCAGACATCATTCATAAATATGTATATGTATATATTATATAAAGATACTTCTATAAGCAAATCTTGGATATTTCATAATTTTCCCCATGCACTGAAATATTCAAATCTTCCCAGTAGTGATTTGAAAACTAACCATATAGTGGTATAATCCTACTTACCAAAATTATTAATTCCTTAATATAATATACAACATATTAATATAATATCAATATATAATATAAAAGTCAGTTGTATTCCATTTTCTCCAGTTTTAACAAAATGCCCTGTTTTAATTGCTTCTCAATGAGATATATTATTATTATATTTAGAAACTTTTAAAACCTGTACAAAGATAGAGTAATGAATTTTGATATATCTGTCATCCAGTTTCAATAGTAGTCCAGTCTGCCATTTTTATTTCATCTTTTTCTTCCCTGTCTTTTCTGTCTGGAGTATCTTAAAATATATATCACCTTTACACTTCACTTGTTCTGTAATTTCTTTAATTGCTTTCAGATATGGAACTTTTTTCTTTCAATGTTACCATAGTATAATTTCTATGTCCAATAATGTTAATTATTTCTTTTATTATATTTTCTGATATTCTAAAAAATTTTCTTTTTATTCTTGGCTTGTTCAGATCAAGAACCAAATAAGGTCTAAATGTTCTATTTATATGTTTTGTAACCTTTAAATAAGTTAGTAGCACCCACCTGTTCTTGGTTCTGTTGTGTTTGTTGAAGGAACCTGGGTCTTATAGAATGTCCCAGTATTTTGGGTTAAGATGATTGAATCCTGGGGCCATTTAACACATAGTATATATCCCACTCATTTCTGGTAGCCTGGTAGAGCTAGAGGCTTCTTTGGATTCTGGTTCTTTTTGTTCCTGCTCAAAGTCTTTTGTGCATGGTATTTTGTGCTATTAGTTTGTGTCTTCTTCCAGTAAGAACTCTGAGCAGTCCACTGTCCGAGCAGTCCACAGCAGCTAGTTAAGTGAGTAGGGAGGGCAGGTCTGTGTGGAGTGGGCCTGGGTCTCCGGCTGCTTCTCAAAGGCACACAGTCACACTCTTGTAAAATAGAGTCACCTTTCATTCATCATTCATTCATCATCCTGTTATTCGTCGATTGCCTCGAGCAGGCCCCAGTAACGTCTCTTTCATCCTAGCCCTGAGATTATATTCAATGCTCTTTAGGAGAATGAGACCCATCATTGTTACTGGTATTTGGCATATTTGGTACGCCACGGGGAGTTTGCCAGACTCTGCCCTGTGGGCAGGCTACATTCGATAGCCTGCAAGTTTGTCCAAAGTAGGAATGAGATAATAAGATGTCATAAAAAGATGTCCTGATAAGATGTCGCGGCCGCGCGGTTCCGGGAGCTGGATTTTATAGTCTCTGAGTCTTGGCCGTTGATGGGATTACACGGCGCCAGGGGGCCAGGTGGTGGGTGTGACCCCCGCCTACTGGAATTTGGAGGATCTGGGTGGAGGATGCTCGACTCCAATCCGAGTAGGCTTGGAGATCTCGGCCCTGGAACCCGCGTGGCTTTGTCCCTCTGCCAGTACCTTCATGTGTGTGGAGAGTGGTCTCGGCATGGTGGTGGCTGGTCCTGGAGGTCTTCGGCTGCCGGAGCCCTGGTCGGGGTGGGGAGGAAAGCTCAACCCGCTCCCCTCCAAGAGTCACCTTAAAAATTAAAATTTCAAAAAATATTTTTACTAATAAATAGGCTTAGAGCATTGCTAGGCCACTAACTCATTTCTACACACAAGATCAAATGTTGTAGCTTCTTGAAAATGGGAGGTTACTCGTGTCTAACATGCTGGCCTGTGTTTGTATGCTGCTCTGTCATTTGCCAGCTCCATGAAGTAAGTTGCTTATTATTCCTCAGTCTCTTGTTTGTAAAATGGTAATAGCCATGCTTCCATCATTTATCGTGAAGACTTAGTGAGATGATTTTTACAGTTAGCAGAGCACCTATGTTAATACATTATTTAAAAATTAGTCTAACTGGAAAAGTTAATATGGCTTGAATGTACTTGTGCTCTCCTCGGGGTGCTTGGGCCACCATGTGGTATCTGAGGTGAGCCTGGGCTCCTGCTTGCAGAGCATGTACTCCTGCCCATGGGCTTATACTCACAGCTCTCTGATTTTTTTTTTTAAATCCAATAATTATCTCTTACTAAGGGCTGGAGTGATAGCACAGCAGTAGGTCGTTTGCCTTGTGTATGGCTGGCCTGGCCGAGTCAGATTTGATTCCTTCGCCCCTTTTGGAGAGCCCGGCAAGCTACTGAGAGTATCTTGCCTGTACGTCATAGCCTGGCAAGCTACCCGTGAGGTATTTGATATGCCAAACACAATAACAACAAGTCTCACAATGGAGACGTTACTGGGCCCGCTCGAGCAAATCAAAGAACAATGGGAGGACTGACAGTGACTTAAGATGATATGTATTAGTTTATTGTAACCCCATTTCATAGATATTTTAATAATATCAAGTTACTATATTCCAAACCATGTGAAAATGAGTGGGTCTAAACTTCTGAAAAATATAGTTATTTAAGTTATCAGCTAATTTTTACCTCTACTTTAAAAAAGAATAATAGACTTTTTTGCCTTAATGAATAAACCATTATTGACTTAATTTCTTTATCCTTTTTATTATTTTTAAGAATGTTAGGGTTTTAATTAACTAAAAAAATCTCATCCATGCCTAGAATATTTATACTGTATTTCTTTCTCTCTTTAAACAATGCCTTACATTTAGTGGAGTAGATTGAGGGAAATGACTTAAGGACCATATATCCTGTTAGAATTTTCTTTTCTTTTCACTTTTAGATTTTGGATTGAAGCTGTTCCCATAAATATATTCTAACGAGAATATATTAACTTAAAAAAATAAAAATAGTTTATAAGAGTTTTATTTCCAGAAATTCCTTTAAAGTTTTTAATAATACCATTTAAGACATATTCTGGAAAAATGTCAATATGATATTGCCCCAGACTTTAAAATTTCTTTTAATATAGTGGCTCTTTGGAGCAATGATGACATGTCTTGGACTCAAATTGCATTTGGGATCATATCCAGGTTTTGCCAGTATGGAAGAAGAAATATCGAAATTCCTAAAAGTCTGGATTTTAGGCTGAGAACTTTCAGAGTAGTGTTAACTGCTTGTGTGTGTTGTAAGTAGCTGCCCATGGAGATTTTCAGTCTGCAAGGAGCCTTTCTGAGCATGCTCTTAATGCTGTGATCATTTAGCTGAAGATGGGAGGAATTTGTAAATTCATTGCAGGTGATTAGTTGTATTAGTTTTCGAGGGCTATTAAGCAATCCAGCATACATTTATGTGTATTAACAGAAATGTACCACTCTCCTGCAAAATAGAATTTTTTTTGTTGTTGTTGGTTTTGTGTGTGTGTGTGTGTGTGTGTGTGTCTGTGTGTATGTTTGGGGTTGCATCTGTAGTGTTCAGATTTTACCGCCTGGCTTTGCATTCATGGATAACTCCTGGCAGAATTCAGGGTGGAGTGGGGGGAATGAATATGGAGTACTGGGGATTGAATCTGGGTCAGCATTGTGCCAGGCAACTTCCCCACTGGCTGTAATTCTAACACTGACTCTTCAGAAGGACTCAGTGGTCTCTCAAATACTTATACAGGTAGGAGTAGAATTCTTCCCTTTTGTGTTTTCCTAGTATTTTTGGTTTGTTTTCAATCTTTCGTGCTTTGATTAATTTCATTTTTGTTTCTATCAGTACATGGTGTGTATACTTTCATGTTGTCTTCCTCCTCTTCTAAGGGAGCCAAGTTATGGTACATCAAGTGTTTTCCATTCCAGTGTGATCTGCTCACCTAATTACATTTCTGACTATGCTTCCAAATACGGTCACTTTCCAAGCTGCTGGGAGTTGGGGATTCAATATATTTTTCTAAGGAGAGAGTTATTTTTGATTTTACAATTCCTTTTCTCAGCAAGTGACTTACTTACTAATTCTTCAAGTCATTTGTTTATCTTCTGGTCATTATTAGTTTCCTTATCCATAAAAATGTGTCAGTACTGTGGGCCAGAGTTTTTTTTTTAATTAAACAAAACCTGAATACAATTACATAGGACAGTTTCTGGTATTTATCAGATCTTGCCTTTCCCCCCGGGCTGGAGCAATAGCACAGCGGTAGGGCATTTGCCTTGAGCACAGCCAGCCCGGCAGAGCTGGGTTGGATTCTTCCGCCCCTCTTGGAGAGCCCAGCAAACTGCTGAGAATATCTTGCCCGCACAGCAAAGCCTGGCAAGTTCCCTGTGACAAATTCGATATGCCAAACACAGTAACAACAAGTCTCACAATGGAGACATTACTGAACCCACTTGAACAAATCGATTAACAATGGAAGGACAGTGCTACAGTGCCTTTCCCTGGGAGTATCTAACTAGTTCTGTGTTTCATTCCGATGAGCTGAAAAGCCTTACTGACGTGACAATCTCACAGCTTACATCATTTCAGTGTGTGACTAAAACTAAGAACAGTTTATTATCATTCAGTGCTGTGAAAATTTAGTATGTAAGCATAATTTTCATTTACTTCTATCTCACCATTTCTGAGGCTTTAGTTTTGAGGAAGTTATGAGCATGAATTTATAATATATAAAAACATATCTATTTTTGTTTTTCTTTTTTGGGGGAAGGACACACCCTGCTTTGCTCAGGTCTTACTCTTGACTCTACACTCAAGAATCATACCTGGTGGGGCTTGGGGGACATTAAGTGGTGCCGGGGATTGAAAGTGGGTCAGCTGTTTGTAAGACAAGCGCCCTATCCGCTGGACTATCTCTCCAGCCTCTGTTTTTATGTTTTAAAATGCTACCTAATGCTTTGTTTGTAGCAGTAAGCCAGAGTGCTCTAGAGAGTGGCAGTATGAACATTTATCACCGATGAGCACATAACTCAGTGCCTAGTCTTAGATAATTTTTTCAGGTTTTTGTAGGACCTTGTTTGCAGCTTGAATTTTCTGATCAGTTTTGTGCTTCACCTTGACTGCATCCAGTCATGCTGTCTCCCTTACCTCTGATGTATGCAGCTTTTGCTTTTTGCCTTGTTTTTAATTTCTTGAATAGGTTTTCTATATGTGTATACTTTATTACATTATTTAGATTGCAAAATCACCTGTTGAAAAGATAAATAAGATTGCTTATTTCTTACCCGTGAGGACCTTGCTGCTGTGGGTATCTAGTAGGCATTCAACAAATTCTTAATGAACAGAAAACTCTTGATGAGTAAAGTGCTTTTTTATTGCATGTACACTTTTTATATAAATTAAAGTTGGTAAAACCTTTCAGTATAGATACTGTAACCATGTAATTTTTAAGTTGCAGAAACTGTCTTTTTTCAGTAATTTTTTAAAACAATAGTAGATTAGAGATTTTTTCATACTGATATTACATATATTTATAAGCCAACTAATGGAAGTTGGTTTTACTATGTGTAATTGAATATTTATGTTTAACGAAACTATACTGCTTCAATTTATATTTGCAATTTCATTGTCTTCTATTGAGCAATCAGAGTTTTTGGGTTACTAGTATTCTATTTGGTGCTCTGTACAGATGAAAATGTTTAACGATTCAAACATCTCCTCTCCAAAGTTTTTAGTTCTAAAATATTTTACACTTATGGTCAGTGTAAATATTAGAAATATTGCATGATAGAGTTAAAATATGTTAAAGTCAAAAAGCTAAGAATATCCATGTGATTTTGGAGTTATAAAAAACTTGTTTTGAGTTAAGAATGTGAGAGCCTTAAGATTCTTTGTGTATTCTGTTGTGATTTGTCCAGGTCAGATCAGGGCCAGCAGTCTGATTTCTCATGTGAAGACTTAGGTGTAGTTTCTTCTTTTTCTATCTTACAATATCTTTTAGTGCATTTCTATAACATTAATTTTCCTCCTCAAATTTTAACATGAGGAGAGAAATGTATAGTAGAAGCATCAGACGTAATTCACTGTAACATAAATGACTTTTGAAATAGATAACAGAGTAGCTACTTAACTGAAAAGATTGCATAAATATACTATTGTAGATTAATTTTACTAGTTTTGTTGTTGTTTGTGTTTTTTCATGTTGACAGGGTTGCTTTAGACACTCTTGCTGCATTGCTAAAATCAAGTAAGTTTTTAAATACTAGAAATAATAGATACTATTTTTCCAAGTGTTCTATCTACTATGTAAAAAAAACTAGAAATAAAGATTTACACTGCATTTATAAATTTTGTTATATTTTAATATCAGCATTGATTTTGTTTTTAGTGTAGTTGATCTATATCCCAACTAATGTCAGTTATGTCCTTTGAGCTTTATTTACTGTACTTATATAATTTGAGAAATTAACTTCCTTTTTCTAAGTTATTTATATAAATATAAATCATGTTAATAGAGAAAAAAATAGTAAATACTGTATTTTATTTGTGATTTATATAATAGAATGGTAAGCATTCAGTATGGGAAATAACTAGTTGTAATATGAGGCAACTGTCTGCAGATATGATTTCGACTCAAACCTTCTTATCAAAATATTTTGTCCATGGTAATTCAGTTTATAATATTAAATGAATGTAAGTTTATACTAAATTCATTTAGAAACTAAAGCACACTTTTTTTTTTATCAAAACTGACATATGGAAGCATTATAATAAATATACCTTTGTATTTATGAATCTGCATTGTATTTTTTCTTTGTATTATACTCATAGATCTGTTTCAAATCAATTGTTAGCCTTCCTACTCATTGATTATACTAACATTTATTTAACCACACTAACATTTATTTGTCAAAATGGCTTTCAGTTATTTTAAAATGTGTATAAAGATTGAGATCTGTTTGCCTTGCATCTGAATTACCAGCCTTGTTCATTTGAATATAGAATGACTTGATAGGAAGTTAGATAATACTAAAGCAATTATCTATTAAAATTTTAAAATAATGCCAAATCATGGTTTTTGTTTTATTTTATTTGAAGTAAATAGATTTTATTTGGAGGATTTTTTGGTATGGAGGGAGAGAGAGTGAGAGAGTAACATACTCGAGAGAACACGGGCTTCTCCAAGGGCGGAGAGAGCCCCTACACACATCCTAGCATTAGACATGAAAGCATGAAAGTACACATCTCAAGAGGGGAGATGCGGGCAACACATGTGCTCAGGCACCACATGTGCTCGGCCACGTGTGTGCAAGCAGCACATGGGCTCGGGCAGCATATGCGCCAAATCACGGTTTTTAAATATACCACAATGTATATCAATTTATTTCCTGTTTTTGAAATGAAATGTATGGTTCTCACTTAGCCATGGATTAACTTTAAAAGATATTTATATCTTTGCTTTTTTGTATTTTCTGGTTCAAATTGTGTAAAGGAAAATTTAAAAAATCGACAAAGGCATTGTTCTTTAATATAGTTTAAAATAACTTAAAATTTTCTAATTTTCAGAATTCTTGGCAGTAAATAATTCTAAATCAGTAATTAGCCAAAACCACTCATAAATTTCAAGAACTTTATAGAAGCTAATTAACTGAACAGGATGTAAATGTAGCATGTTCAGTTTAAAATAGTTGGGTTTTACTCCTTCCCTTCTCCTTCACGGGAAAATGGTGAACAAAACAACTCTTATCATGTGGAAAAGCAACTGACAGAATAACTATTTTTTATTTGAATTTTTTTTTTTAAATTTTGGGCTGGCTGGGCTGGAGCAATAACACAGTGGGTAGGGCATTTGCCTTGCTCACAGCCGACCCAGGTTCGATTCCTCTGTCTCCCTAGGAGAGCCCGACAAGCTACCGAGAATATCTCACCCGCATGGCAGAGCCTGGCAAGCTCCTTGTGGCGTATTCGATATGCCAAAAACAGTAACAAGTCTCAGTGGAGACGTTACTGGTGCCCGCTCGAGCAAATTGATGAACAAAGGGAGGACAGTGCTACCGTGCTAAATTTTGGGCCATATCCAGCAGTTCTCAGAGTTTACTTTTGACTCTGTGCTTATAGGGTGCTGCAGATTGAACTTGGACTAGCGGTGTGCTCTCTCACTGGTTTCTGTTTTTAAGGTATTTTTATATGGCACATGGCACTAAATAATCCTATTTTATAATGCGAAACAATGTTTGATAGCACACTGCATACTTTTATGTACAGTATATACATTTTGCTGTATTCACTTGATATATTCACATTTTTTTAAAAAAGATATTTTTGCATGAGTGGGTAGTCATTTACATTAAAGGGATAAACTGGGCTGTTTTCATAACCTTGAGAGTCAACACAGACAGGTGCACTCATACACATTGCAGAAAGACAGACACCTCTGTTGCTGTCTAATGTGGATTTACTTCACATCAGTGCTTGGAATACATGAGAGAGAAACCTAAACAAACAGCCCCTGTCCTACTGAGGGATATTGAAGATTGCAGAAAACTTTGTTCACTTTGGGTTTTTAATTTTGCTTTTTTTTTTTTCTTTTCTTTTTGGGCCATACCTGGAGATGCTCAGGGATTTACTCCTGGCTCTGCACTCAGGGATCATGCCTTGTGGTGCAGAACCAGGAGTAAGCCATATGAGGTGCTGACGATCAAACTCGGGTCAGCCAGGTGCAGACAAGCACCTTACCTACAGTACTATCTCTCCAGTGCCTTTTCCCTTTTCTTAACAATCATTCAGAAACTTGTTGCAGTTATGGATAAGCTTTTGCTTTTTAAAAGTTATTTCAATATTTTTCATTGCAAACATTTGGGCTGCTGGGAAATTCTCGTACACAGGTAGAAAGCAAAGGAGTTATATAAATTCCAGTTGGTATAAGCAACATGTTTATTTAAAACATGAGGCTTTAGTCAAAACTGTTGATTCCATTTTATAAGTAGCCCGGTTCCTTAGCCAGCTAGCTAAAGTGTGTGTAAGAACCTCCCACTTGTTTGTTTCTTCCACCTTCATAAGGTCAGATATTAATTTCTAAAAAAGCATATGCATTTGCTGATCTCAACTTGTTTATGTTATGTTTTATATTTGTATTAATATATTCAGAATCTGTAGTAATTTTTATATGTAACAAAAGTAGTGGAGCTTGAATATTTATCTTAGTATTTCTGCCATGACCCATGAGCTACGAGGTAGTTGTTGGATAAATTTGAGATTAAGAAGAGATTGGTCTTTTTTTTATTAGGGTGGGAGGGTTGTCCACAACTGGCGCTTCTCAGGGCTCACTCCTGGCTCTACACTCAGGGCTCACTCCTGGCTCTGCACTCAGGACTCACGCACTCAGGACTCACTCCTTGTAGTGTTTAGGGAGACATAGCGGATGCCATTGGCTGCGTGCAAGAGAGGCGCCCTACCTGCTGTACTAATGCTCCAGCCCCAGAACAGTTTTGATTATATTACAAAACGCTAATGATGAAAAAGCACCATCTTCTAATCACATTATGCTCCTTTATTTACTTGAAGTTTTTTGTTTCTGGGCTACCTAGAGGTGCTCAGGGCTTACTCCTGACTGTCTGCTCAGGATCACTCCTGCTGGGTTCAGGAGGCCACATAGGGTGTTGGGATGGAACTTGGGTCAGCACATGCAAGGCAAGTGCCCTACCTATTGTACTATCTCTCTGTCCCCTTAATTTTTTTTTTTAACTTCACATTGTTATGGCATGGCTATTTATATGGGGGGTTTTAAGCACTTAATTTCTACAAAAACTCAAAGTCAGTATATTCATAAGTCTTAAAACATGAAACTTTGATAAAAATTTAACATTTAAAAATATGTAGCTGTAGTCGTTAAGGTGATTTTGGTTTTTATAAAGCACAAAACATCATACAGGTAGGTTTTTATGAAAATGCAGTTTTCTCTCTGAAGCTTGCTTTGTTAAATACCATATATGACTACATAAGCATTACAAATTTTATTACAATTTTTTAGAAAGAGAGAGGAGTGCTATTGCTATGTGAAGCTATAAAAAATTGTGCTATTATTACTGGGGAAAAAGGAGTGATGTTATGTGGTGGTATATATTATATTGATATATATAATTAAACAATATTTCAAAATGTGGTTCCTCTGTTTCTGGTGTTTTTTTTTTACTGAGAGAAAGTGAAAATAACTTACAATAGTCTTGTTACATTTCTAATTTGGTATATTTTACAATTTTCTCTGTCATTTAAAAAATATGCTCTCTCAATTTTCTTTTGTTAAAGAAACAAATGCCAGGAGAGCTGTAGACAAAGGATATGTCCAAGTTCTTTTAACTATTTATGTAGATTGGCACCGCCATGATAGTCGGCATAGAAACATGCTCATTCGAAAGGGGATTTTGCAGAGTTTAAAAAGTGTCACAAACATCAAGCTGGGAAGAAAAGCATTCATTGATGCCAATGGGATGAAAATTCTGTATAATACTTCACAAGTGAGTTTTAAATTTTTTCTTCTTGTGATTATAATTGATCTAATTTGTGTATTAAGATAACTTAGTGTAACACATGCTTAGAAAAGCCTAATAAAGTATAATAAATATATATTTTTAAGTGATTAAGTCAGGGGCTAGAGTGATAGTACCTGAGTTGGAGAAAGCTGTCAGATATTGATGGATGCTTTTTATCTAAGAAAGGGTTACATAATGTTGTTTGTGTTATTTAACATTCTGAACCTTAATTTCTCATATTTTGACAGGACATATATGAGTCTATGCATTAGAAATTTGTAGATCAATATTTTGGTAGCCAAGTGCCATAAATAGCCAGTAATAATAATAATATTGCATGGTAAAGTTTTAAATTTCCTAGTCCTCTTTTGATATGAGTACAGTTAACTGCTGATAGGTTTAATGGCCAGCCTTCTGGGGAACTGCTACTGTTGTTTGATAACTGATTCTGAGAAAGACTTGGCAAGAAGCACTTTCTCTTTATATCTTAGATCTTTCTTTCTGTATTTCTTAGTTCTTCCACTTTTCTTCTTTGAAAATTAAAAGATCTGTTCTTGATTTGCTAACTGCCTCCTAAGCAGTCATGCACAATACTTAGAATTTTGCCTCAGATGATATGGATTTCTCTCTAGAATATTTAAGGAAAAATATCACTTAAACTGCTATATGAAGTACTTTTAAGACATACTTCTGAATAGTGGAGCTATCTTATAATTATGTGGAGTGTGTTGAGTATTCTGATATAACTCTAGAAATTATTCATCTATTTCTGAAGGAATGCATTAAATTGGTACAGCTTTTCACCAAAGGCACAACGTTACTATTTTTTTCTCTCACTCTCTCTCTCTCTCTCTCTCTTTTTTTTTTTTTTTTTTACAAAAACAGGAATGCTTGGCAGTCAGGACCCTCGACCCTCTTGTGAACACCTCCAGTCTGATAATGAGAAAGTGTTTCCCAAAGAACCGCCTGCCACTCCCGACTATTAAGAGCTCTTTCCACTTCCAGCTGCCAGTCATCCCTGTCACTGGCCCCGTGGCTCAGCTCTACAGCTTACCCCCTGAAGGTAGGGCACAGCTTAGGGTCGCTTCCAGTGCTTCTTGAGACTGCACAACTGCCAGTTCTTTTAAAAACCTGGTCTATGTCCCTAACAGATGAAGGTTGTGCTGAGCACAATATTCAGCTTTCATTTATTTAATATTTTTGTAGGGCTACACCTGGTTATCCTTAGGGTTGACCTGCCCTCAGGGATCACTCCTGGCAGTGTTCAGGGGACCATGTGTGGTAATGGGGATCGAACCCTGGTTGGCTGAAGACAAGGCAAACGCCCTAGCTGCTGCAGCCTATTGTTCTGGCCCCAACATTCAGCATTTTAGTAAATATTCTAATATTTAAATTTGAGGTCTCTTAATTTAGGGAAATAACTTAGGGTTTATTAATTTATATAATTTTAAATTGTGAAAAATCTATGCATCATATAGAGACATAGGTACTTTAAATACATTTTTTTTTTAGTAACTTATGCCATTGTGTCTGCATGTCGTGTCCTCTGTATCTGCTCCCCTGTTGATGATGTGGGTAGTTTCCCTGTCTTGATGACTATAAATAATGCTGCATTGCGCCTACTGGTGTGTCTATCTCCTTAAGTGTGATAACTGAAAAGAGACTCCACGGAGAAAATAGGTCACAGAGTCACTAATGTTGGCTTCAGAGATACCTTTGGCAAGATCAGACGTGACAGAGGAGACCCCAACACTGTGGCCACAGGCACAGGCCACAGGCCTGCTGGGAAGCCCTTGCAGTGACCCAGAGCCTCCTCGTGTCCCTCACTAAAGTTAAACAAAAGCTTTGAGACATTAACAGGGTAACATCAAACCAAAAAGCTTCTGAATAGTGATAGGAACCTTTTTCAAATTAAAAGATAGCCTATTTAGTGGAGGAAGATAATCTGCAAACCTTACATCTGACAAGGGATTAATATGCAAAATATATAAGCAGATTAATATGAAAAAAATATAAGTTGTATAAAATATATATAACTTCACAACAAAATAACAACATGATTAAGAAAATGGTAGAGGGTTAAAATAGACATTTCACCAAAATGACATACATGGCAGTAGACACATGAACATATCTTCACCATCACTAAAGAGAAGGAAAACCAAGATACAAAGCAGATTGAAATGTTTGCCTTGAGTCTCTATCATTTATAATTATAAATTATAATTTGTTTATTTTCTGTCCTTTAACCTAAATGAGTTCCTGAAGTTAAGGGAGTATGTGTTTTGGAAGTTTATCTTTCAAAAAAATTCCCAGCACCTAACACAGTAAATGGTAAGAGACATTTATTGAAATAAATGAAAGGATATAAAGGGATGAAATAGATTATTGAAATTTGTCATAAATAGTAAGCCAAATTCACTTAGATTAAAACAATTTTTTAAAAAAATGCTGAAACATTGGTATAAAGCCCATTACATTTTATGTAGCACTGTAGCACTGTCCTTCCGTTGTTCATTGATTTTCTCGAGCGGGCCCAGTAATTTCTCCATCATGAGACTTGTTGTTACTATGTTTGGCATATTGAATATGTCATGGGTAGCTTGCTAGGCTTTGCCGTGTGGGCCAGATACTCTTGGTAGCTTGCCAGGCTCTCCTAGAGGGGCAGAGGAATTGGACCCGGGTCGGCCAAGGCAAATGCCCTACCCACTGTGCTATCACTAGAGGGGAGGACTGTAGCTGTATAAATTTTATGTATTTTCTAAAATTTAAAGCACTTTGAGTTTCTAACATCTAGTATGATCTTAGAGATACTTTGTTTCCTAGTAGATATTGAAAGAGTGTGTTTCCATGGAAGCATGTGTATGTGTTCATGGATGTGTGTGTTCCGAGATGCTTACCAGTGACCTACTCACGGCACATTTTGTATCACAGTTGATGACGTAGTAGATGAAAGTGATGACAATGATGATATTGATTTGGAAACTGAAAATGAAACTGAAAATGAAGATGACCTAGATAAAAATTTTAAGGTAAGTATAATTTTTTTTCCTTTTTGATCTATACTTGTGTAGTACTCAGAATTTATCCCTCTATGTGCTCAGTGATCATTCCTTGTGGGGCTTGGGGACAATTATGTGGTGCTGGGAATTTGAAGTCAGGCCAGTTGTGTGCAAGTCAGATGCCTTCCCTGCTGTGTTATCTCTCTGACCCATAGTATAAAATTCTTATCATTGTTATCTTTATAAAATATATACACAGTTGTAAAACATAGGTCCAGAAAGTATGCAATATTAATGGTAGGCTAATTTACTTTGTCTGCATATACATTTTTTTTTCATGAATGACCATGAATACTTAATGACAAGGAAAATAATGTGCTTTGAGTGCATTAATTTAAAAGGGATAATAAATGGCTTATTTTCACCATTTCTAATCAGAAATATTTTACGTAAGTTTTCTGACTTAGTCTTAAGTGTGAAGGAAAGTGCTGGAGATTGTGACAAGTTATTCCTCTCCAGACAGACTTTTGGGGATATAAAAATGGTAGGAAAATAATCTATAGCTGATTCTTGTTAAGATGAGTCTGGATTTGGGCATGAATAGAAGCATTGAACTGAGAAAAAATTTATTTATTGTCTGTTTATATAAAATTAGACTAAGGGGTAGGTAGTTTTCAGAATTTCATGGAATGTATGAAAGTCTTGCTTTATTACATGATGGCATTTTGTAGAAAAATATGTGTTTTTCCCTCATAAATCTTGCTGGTTAACTGGTGCTTTGGTGGGAGTGGGTCTTCACCTGACTCTTCACTGACTCTGTCTCTCTTCTGTGATATTCTTCCCACTCTGTTAAAATCAGGGCATGCTGGGTTGACACATCCCCCTTTTCCTGTGGTGGGATCGCCCTCCTGGCCCTCACGTGGCTGGAGACCGCTTTGTGGCTGTTTGGGTTCTGGCTCCCGGGTGTGCTGGTGGCAGGGACTGAGCTCTCTTCTCACCTGCTGGCATGTGCTCAAACCCTGGATATCCTGGAGGTAGAATGGGAGATGCAGAAGGTGCAGATGGATATTCCAGTTTCATTTTCCTCAAATGTAATCACCACAGTAGGTGCTGGGAAAATTGTAAAGTTAGCCAGTGTGGCCCTGTGATGTTTTATGTACTGACCGCAAGAAGACAGGAGCTAGAGCCGTGCACCCTCTGGTGGCCAGGGCAGAACCATGAGTGAAGACAAACAGCGCCAGGAGAGTATAAATTCCATATGTATACCATAGATAGCAGGAATTGTCTTGAAGCAGCTCCTTGGGGGCTTTGCCGGATACTTGAGGGGAGTAAAATTTCTCAGATTAATACTAAGTTTTCAAGTTAGGATGCTGATTTGGATTGAGAACATTTCTCTGTGCTATCTATTCATGTCTGTTAAAAACCAAGTTTGCTAAATATAATAGTCTTATTGCTCTGGGTTGTCATTACAAAGTTCTGTTGTACATATTATTTTATGACTCCACTCACATGTGATTTATAAAGAAACAAAATCAGATGAATAGACAGTGCACAATGAAACAAAACCTTAGACTCTTGATCATAGGATTGAAGTTACCAAGGTGGAGGTTTTGCTGGAAAGAAAGAGCCAGTGTCCAAGTCTGTAGACAAGTGCACATATACACAGGAGCTAGCAGTCAGAAAGTAGAGCACAGTTTCCTCTTCCCCTGCAGGAGTTGGCACAGGGTTCAGAAAACAGCAGTTTGCTGAGACTGTCCTGTCTCTTCTGCTCCCCGTATGCCTGTTCTGTTGGCCGTATTGCCTCACCCAGGACGTTTTCCCTCCTTCTTCTCGAGTTAAGCCTTCCGAGGGATGCTGCCTGACACGGTGGACGTGCTCTGTTCTGGCATGAGCCCCACATGGTGTTTGCACTCCAGAGTGATTCCATTCTCTCTCCTTGAGATTTTTCAGTTCATTGTTTTTCAGACACTTTTAGAGCCTCTTATCTCCAGACAATGAGGACTTGTCAGTATCGGCAAGCTTCCTGTGCTTTCGCTCCATATTTCAGTAAGACTTGAGGAGTAACGCTAAGGATCTTCATCTTTGTTTCTCTGCAAACCCAAACAGTTTTTTTCTACTGAGTTTCACTATGGCAGTTTTACAGGAAATCATTTTTAAGTGACCTTCTATGGCTCTTTTTCACAAATCTTGAATTTTGTACTTAAAATTTTATGGAAATGAATAAATTTTTTTTCTTTTTTGGGCACACCCAGCGATGCTCAGGGGTTACTCCTGACTCATGCATTCAGAAATTACTCCCGGCGGAGACCAATGGGATTCTGGGGGTCAACTCAGCTTGGATGTGTGCAAGGCAAACACCCTCCACACTGTGCTACCGCTCCAGCCCCAACACTGTACTTTTTTTTTTTAATTTGAAACAATGTCTACTGATACTTACAGAGAAATATTTTATTTTGGTTATATAAACAAAAGCTAAGTGTTCAAATATGATATATGAGAAATACACAATGTATCTTCTTTTGAAAAGGTGAAGGGGCCGCACCCAGCTGGGCTGAGGGCTGACTCCCGGTTCTCTGCTCAGGGATCATTCCTGGCAGTGCTTGGGGAACCCTTTGGTGCTGGGGATTGATTGAACCTGGGTCAACTGCATACAAGGCAAGCAGCTTGCCCACTGTGCTGTCTCTTACTCTTACCTTTTTAAAAAACAAATTACTTGACAATATAAATATTGCATTGTAGCACTGTTCTCCCGTTGTTCATCGATTTGCTCGTATGGGCCCAGTAACTTCTCCATCGTGAGACTTGTTACTGTGTTTGGCATATTGAGTACATCACGGGTAGCTTTCCAGGCTTTTCCGTGCAGTCGGGATACTCTCAGTAGCTTCCTGGGCTCTCCGAGAGGGGCGGAGGATTTAAAACCGGCTCTGCCGAGATGGCAATGCGCAAGGCAAATGCCCTACCGCTGTGCTATCGCTCTAGCCCAATATAAATACTAGTCAGATAAATACAGAAATATAGACCTCTAAATCTGATTTGGGTATAGTCTGGTGTATAGTCCTATGTATATAAAGGATTTTCACAATTGAAGCTTAATAAAATAGTTTCAAGGCTGAAAAATAAATAATTTGGCAGTAATATAAACACAAGCTGAATATGAGAACTGGGGGTGTAGGGCAGGGACCAGACATTGTGAAAGGGGCGCTGGTTTTCACAGGTGGCCCAAATGAGTGCAGTTCTTCTATGTCTGTCCCTCTCTTTCTGACTCATTTCACTTAGCATGATACTCTCCATGTCTATCCATTTATACTAAAGTTCACGAGTTCATCTCTCCTGACAGCTGCATAGTATTCCATTGTGTAGATGTACCAAAGTTTCTCTAACCAGTCATCTGTTCTAGGGCACTTGGGTTGTTTCCAGATTTTGGCTATTTTGGACAGTGCTGCAATGGACATATAGGTACAGATGTCATTTCTACTGTGCTTTTTTGCATCCTCAGGTTATATTCCGAGAAGTGGTATTGCGGGTTCATATGGAAGCTCAATTTCTAGTTTTTGAAGGACTGTCCATATTGTTTTCCAGAAAGGCTGGACAAGTGGGCATTACCACCAATAGTGAAAGAGCGTCCCTTTTCCCCCACATCCATGTCAGCACTGGTTGCTTGTGTTCTTTTGAATGTGTGCCAGTCTCTGTGGTGTGAGGTGATATCTCATTGTTGTTTTGATTCGCATCTCCCTGACGGCTAACGATGTGGAGCATTTCTTCATTTGCCTTTTGGACATTTCTATTTCATTTTTGAAGAAACTTCTGTTCATTTCTTCTTCCCATTTTTTGATGGGGTTGGAGGTTTTTTTCTTGTACAATTCTACTAGTGCCTTGCATATCCTGGATATTAATCCCTTATCAGATGGGTATTGGGTAAATTTTTTTTCCTATTCTGTGGGCTCTTTCTGTATTTTGGTCACTGTTTCTTTTGAAGTGCAGAAGCTTCTTAGTTTGATGTAGTCCTATTTGTTTATGTTTGCTTCTACTTGCATGGTCAGTGGTGTTTCATCCTTAAAGATGCTTTTAGCTTCAGTGTCATGGAGAGTTCTCCCTACATTTTCCTCTATGTACTTTATGGATTCATGTCTGATATTGAGGTCTTTATTCCACTTTGATCTGACTTTTTAAAAAAAATTTTATTAGTGAAACACCATGAGGTACAGTTGTAGATTTATAAATTTTTGTGCTTGGGTTTCAGTTATACAGTGATCAAGTACCCGTCCCTCCACCAGTGCCCATCCTCCACCACCACGGGTCCCAGCATCCCTCCCACCCACCATTCCCCCCCATACCACCCTGCTTCTGTGGCAGGGTATTCCCTTTTGTTCTCTCTCTCCTTTTGGGTCCTGTGGTTTGCAAGAGAGGCATTGAGTGGCAGTCATGTTTGGTCTATAGTCTACTTTCAGCATGCTTTTCCTATCCTGGGAGGATCCTCCCAACACTTTTATTTGGTGTTTCCTTCTCTATCTGAGCTCCCTTTTCCCCTGGAATATGTGGCTGGCCTCCAAGCCATGGAGCAAAACTCCTGGTACTAATCTCTGCCACTCTTGGGTGTTAGTCTGCTATTTTGTTGCTTTATATTCCCCAGATGAATGCAATCTTTCTATGTCTATCCCTCTCTTTCTGACTCATTTCGATTAACATGATACTTTCTATGTAGTACCACTTGTATGTAAATTTCATGACTTCATCTTTTCTAAAAGCTTCATAGTACTCCATTGTATAGATGTACCAAAGTTTCTTTAACCAGTCATCTGTTCTCGGGCACTCAGGTTTTTTTTCTCCAGATTCTGGCTATTGTAAAGAGTGCTGCAATGAACAAACAAGTGCAGATGTCACTTCGACTATACTTTTTTGGGATACCACTCTCTGGGATATATTCCCAGGAGTGATATTGCTGGGTCAAATGGGAGCTCAATTTCTAATTTTTTGAGAATGATCCATACTGTTTTCTAGAAGGGGTGAACCAGTCGGCATTTCCACCAGCA